TTTTTGGTGAACACTCGTAATAAAGATATAAACAACATATAAAACGTGCAGTATTGTAACTAAAATTCCTGGAAATTGGACGGAAACCTGCATAAAGCCCATTATTAAGCAAATTAATCGTCAAGCTGGGCCTTTCCCGCTAATGGGATCAGGTTACATTGACGCATCTGGAGACATTTTAGATGTCCATTTCCCAGAATTACAACTTTAGTGCGTACGATGCATGTGATATACCTGGTCCCTGTACATCAGTCATTTAGCAACTGGTGATGTATTTGCAATGATGATAATTTCTAAGAAGGAAAGCAATAAAACACCGAGAAGTTGTAAAGATGAGAATATTAATAACTTGCTGACCAAGTGGACTGTACCGGGAAAATATTAACCGACGTTTTGCTGTATATTGACCGGGCGAAAGCGAAGTCAATACAGCAAAACCAAGGTTTGATATTTTCCCGACGGTCCAAATGGTCGCGGTCAATAAGTTTTTGTTATGTGGCCTGATTGTCCTTTTGTAAAAATGGAAATCATGGTCACGCGAGGGCAAAGTCCGAAATATTTGTAAAATTTTAAATTGTAAAAATTTATCTCTTGGTTTGTGAAACTACTTTACAGCACCTTTTAATATACAGAATATGAATTATGGATAGTATTTCAATGACGAGAGTACGTTCTAGTTCGCTACATTTTATATCCCGTCTCTTTTTTAACTAAGGGAATTAAAACAGAAATTTTCGATAAAAAACCATAAACCTGTGCCGGCTTCAGTCTTTCAGATGGTGTCAAATTCCTTATGGCTATCTTCAAATACAATTTGCAGCTCTTCGCATGTTCAAAACGCAGAAATATATCTTTTGATATTTTTGACTTAAGCCTGCAGCACACGAGAGCTATCTGCTGAGCAAAAAGTTACTCGTGCCTGTTAGCTCAGCCGATAGCTCACCGTGTGCGCGTACATTTTACTGAGTTTTTTGCCTCATGCAACCTTTTCTCACGCATCAAACATGTTTGATTGGTGAGCTATCGGCTGAGCTAACAGGCACGAGTAACTTTTGGCTCAGCAGATAGCTCTCGTGTGCTGCAGGCTTTATATACATATGGACATTTTCCGTGTTTTAAGTTTATTCTTGTTCGTTTTGAATATTTCGAAAGATGTTTTGACAATCTTTTGTTTGAAACTCGGCTCTCAACGCAGTTTTGGACTATCAATTAGTGCTCCAAAGGACAAATTGTTTTGAAGCGCTTTAGGCCTGGTTTATACGTCGAATTTTGGTCGCGTCGAATGCAATTAAGACAATAGATAATGAGATGATAAACCTCACTAAGCATTATCTATTGTTTGAATTGCATTCGACGCGACCGAAATTCGACGTATAAAACGGGCCTTACTCCGACAGTGTCATTTAAAGACAGATAAGTTAAACTTTTAGACATTATATCATTCTTCGTAACGATAGGTTTATGTTCTGTTAGTTTCGTCTGTTTCTTTAAAAAAATGAACTTTATTTAATTTTTTCTTGTTACGGCAAACATAACATAACATTGTTTCATTGAAACTGTTAAATTCGACAGTCGTGCATACAGGTAAATCATGTAACGTACTGAAGCTCAGTTCAGTTATCAGTAAGCAAGAGAAAGGCAAGAACGAGTCTAAGTTATGATGATGTTTTTTGACTTGCTCTAACTTTTTTATACAGGGGTGTATCAAAGACGGATTACCAAAAAGACACTTATCCACCATATTGTGTTGGAATGGGTTATATTATAAGTTCAGATGTCTTTCAAAACATGATGGTGATTGTACCCACACAACCGTGGTTTGTATTAGAAGATGTCTATATTGGTCTGATTCTAGAAAAATTAAAAATAGTGCCAGTGGATAATAGTAAATATTTCCATATACATTCTGATTACTCCTGGGACGTTTGCAAAAAAAAAGACTTGTTGTTAAGTCTACAAGCAACGCCAAAACAAATGCTCCAACTGCATTTGAAATTTTCTAATTTATGGAAATGTGGTCCCGTAGGTTATTATAAAAAAGTTTAGTTATTTGTATTGTAAGTATATTTGAAAAAAAATGTTATAGTATTATTGGTATACGTCGTATATATTTTTTGAAAAGGTAGCTTATATAATTATTGCCACAAATGGTAGGTAAATGCGATTTCATCAAGACTACGTTTACACTACGCTGGAGCGAAATAAGTAGATTACCCTCCCCACATAGCGGAATACTAATGAGCTTGTTGCATCCAGCGGCTGACGTCACACTGTGCGTACAGTACATACAAGTACGTACATTCTTATTTGGTGATGACCTCGTACATCATTTTTGTTTTTTAGAGAAAAAAACATAAAAAAATTAAAAAATCCTCCGAGACGGGTTCGATCAGTCGACCTAGGGATATCAAAACAGCGAAAAATGGGGGTAACACGAATACGAAAATATATACATTTTTAGAGCAAAATATTGCTGCTAGGACACTGCTTTGCTTGGATGCTTAAATAAATTAACACACATGCAGAAACGGATTAACGTTTTAAAGCATTAATTATATCTAAAGTATAGCTATTTTACATAGGGGTTCTCTCGGGGTTTTGCTTCTCCGGTTTTACTTTCTATAGTTTTGGCTTTGTTGTGTCTTCGATAACCATGATTTTTTTAACAAAGGCTCGGATCGTAGGTTCGTCTTCGTGCAGATTCACCAACTTCATACGACCTGTAGATTGATGCCTTATTTTTACATACCAATAATTTTCTCCGTTGATGTAGACACCTGGCTGGCTAGGATCAAAACAATTGCGCGATGACTTATACATCTCATGTGATAGCACATCCTTCGGGAATGTTACGGACCACCGGTGCTCCCAAGGTGTAGTTTTGCCACTCGGGGATAGTTGCATCCGACCAGGTAATATATACCGATGATGTGCAAATTTCGGTTGTTTTCTTCCATGCATGCTTGGTTCGATATCGGAGACCGGTGTGGGCTCGACACTAGTACTGTTCACTTTAGTTTGGGTGGCGAAGAGATAAACATGGCAGTCGCCAAATAGGCCCCCAAGAAATTGCTTATCGGCTGGTGTGTCAGGTTTGTTATCCACCAACAAGTATCCAAATAGTTTTTCGGTCTCTTTGCAATAGACATACATAAAGCGGACTCTATTTTTATCAAACATGCATTCTCCAACAATTCTAATTTGTTTCCTATCACTACGATTTCGGAAGGGAGCAAGATATTGGGCATTTCGGCTAATATCTGTATTAAATTTCCCCTTTAGGAAACATGTTTTGAAGCAAAAGGATAATACTAGTGTTTCTATGACGACCCTGGGTAAATAATCGAGCTACCACAGGACTGTCTGTCGCTTCGGCCATCAGATCATCCAGTATGATTATGTTGCACTGGGTATTAATCTCGCTCAGATCATCGGACAACACTGGCAAACCTCTTTCAAACCAGAACACTGGCAAACCTCTTTCAAACCAGATGCTTTTCCCAATGGATTTTCTCAAGTCGTCGTAACGATCTTGCCATTGTTTGTAGCACCAAAGAATGCGAATACTCCTCTGCTCTTCGTACATAATACGATTGTTTTTCAAAATTTGCTGGACGAAATAAGTCTTTCGACATTGAGTGGGACACACGACCGACAGAGAAAATCTATAGCGGAAGTTGAATTGCAGATAGGGCTTAGTAGTCAAAGACGCTGTTACTTTTGGTACGGTTTTTGTGCCTAGATACCAGTGCCCCACATCGACCTAACGATTGATCATCAGATTCTATTGTCAAAACTACAAGTGTGGGATACGCGGCCATACGTTCCAATCGTATTTGGATCAAAGAAACCAAATTTGCATGTTAAATAACTGTAAATCTGATATTGAAACAATTCGTTGTGGAGTACCTTAGGGTTCAAATCTTGGACCTCTATTATTTCTCATTTATATTAACGACCTCCCAAACTGCTCAGAAACAACACACTCTAATTTATTTGTCGATGGCACAATTTTATCATGTCAAGGGCATTTATCTATAGATATTGAATACAAACTTAACAAAGACCTGGTGAACGCTCAAAAATGGCTATCAGCAAATAAACTAACATTAATTAAACAACGGAAAAACTAAATATGTGATTTTTGAATCTCGGCAACGATTGAAAAATCATATATTTTTATAAACGGACATCAAATTGAACGAGTTTATAAAAAAGAAATTCTGGGTATAGTTATAGACGACAAACTTAGCTGGAACAGGCAAAATGAAGACCAATGCAACAAGATATCAAAAGATATTAATCTTCTAAGAAAAGCTAAAGATTTTGTTGGCCTAGATATGCTACAAATTATGTATAACGCATTAGTTATGCCTCATTTTAACTACTGTTCAACTGTATGGCAAAATAATAACCAAACACACTTAAGCCTGGTTCACACGATGAAATAAGCATAAGCACAAGCAGCGGAACCTTTGATGTAAGCATAAGAAGAACGCAACATTTGTTCTTCTTATGTTTATGCTTATGCTTACATCAAAGGTTCCGCTTGCTTATGCTTATGCTTATTTCATCGTGTGAACCAGGCTTTAGAGAAATTGTATACGCTTCAGAAACGAGCAGCTAGAATTATTACAAATTCGGACTATACCGTAAGATCCTCGGACACTTTTCAAAAACTTAGCTGGAATCCTCTTGGCTTAATTTTGAAAACACGACTTTTTATGACATTTAAAGCGATTAATGGTATGCTTGCAGAATACATAACAACTATTTCACACTTGTGAAAACAGTGGTTACGTACTGGGCAGTAGTAATTTAAAGGCTGTCTCAACCTAAACCAAAAACAAATTTCTTGAAATTAAAAATAGCTTTTCGTACAGAGGAGCAGCGTATTGGAACAACATCCCAATAAACTTGTTGAAAACCTTAAGAGAGTCAACAAACTTAAAAATAGGTACGCGACCGCGTACATGTATCTGCGCATTAAAGGTCCAGACACGCCGGACGCGATTCGACAACGCGACGCGATTTTTCAAAAACTGAAAAATCGCGTCGCGTTGTCGAATCGCGTCCGGTGTGTCTGGACCTTAAGGCCTGATTCCACGACTGCGAAATTCGTCGCGAGAACTTGTGTCTGCGAAATACGGTGGTTGCACATGAGCGATTATATTGAATTGTCCCACTTTGTCCCCTTTCGCAGTAAGTAGAAATGTTTCGCATTTCGCCGAGAAGAAACGCTCGTGGAATCAGGCCTTTACTGCATTGATGTTGCATTCTCGGAATTACATTTTTACAGCAATTGTGCGAAATTGTGCTAGTTGAAATTATATGCCTGCTTCAGATATAATATTTACATTTAACCAGTGACTTCTAAATTAAGAGGACGAGAACCATTTATATCCCGAATCACGGCAACCGATTACAATCATACAAAAATGTTTCTTTTTATCTGGAGCTAAATATCTGCTATTCATACAGTTCATTACTTTTAAGAACAATTTAAAGAAAATAATTAATTAAGGCTGTAAAATGTGTGGATTCAAAGACGTGGGATTAGACGTCTGTACATGGAGTCATGAGCTAATAATAGTTTCTGACATTTAAAACAACAGGGCTACGTTTATACTATACTTTGTTTTTATAGTTTAGCTAAGTTTCAGAGGCCTCCATTAAATAACAGTCAAGATATACACGCAAATATAATTTGCTTGTCTATATTTAAAATTTGTAATTGTTTCGTGAAGATTCAACCGTAAAACAATTGTCGGAAGTGCAAGCCCTGATTATAAAAACTCAGGGAAAACCCGTGCGGTATGAAATGCGTGGCGTAAACATGTCAATCAAATATCATTCTATAAATATGACGTTTTATATTTGCACAGTACATCGTGTACGTTTTTGTTGTAGAACTTGTGTTGTTCAAATCGAATATGAAGTAAAATCAGGAGCATACTGTCACAGGCTAATTTTGTATTTTAATACCCTCTGGAAATACAAAGGCTTTGGTACCCCTATCTATCACAAAATGTAACAAATCCAAAACAAAGTATGAGGACTAATATTTTTCCTATCATTTGACAGATTAAAAGTATTATTCAAGAAATATGTCCATTTTAATCATAACGTGATACAAAAATACTAAATAACATGCAAAATTCAGTGCCAAAGAGGGATTTATTTGGCGGTAGTTAAATTAAATATGTAAACATAATATGTTCTCAAACTGGCACAGTTTAATACAAATTGGCAATTAAAGCTCGCAATGCTATATATTTGGTTTGATACGAAGATAAAATAGTAAGTACTCATAATAATTACAATATGTCCATGACCTAATTACTCAAAAATTTAGATTATTAAATCACATAATGGAACAACTTGCAATTTGCTACGCTCACTCGTTAGCAATATTCTCTTCAACACTCGAAATATATTACATATTTCCGCACATTCGCACAACCATGTATAAATATTCTCTATACATTCCAGTTTACCTTTAATTTTTCAAGTGGTAGGCAAGATATTAGTCCTTTTGATTTGTTATTCTCTTGACCCGACACGGGAGTGATAGGCACTTGAAAAAATGACAGTTGCATACTTGCGTGTAATTTGCTCGGAACAATTTGCAATCAACATTGCAAGATTGATTGCAATGTTGCAATACTCATGGAAACAGAACATCCGGTTTGACTGTAAGAGTTATATCAGTGCAAGACTGCTATAGAAGAAGATTTTATCAAAATAAAGTCAGGATGAAGCCTAATAATACCACGATTACTAATACTACTCTTGAAAGCTTTTCGAAAGACGCCATCTTGTTTTAAAGCTGTTCTAGCCTGCGAACAGGTCTTCAAAACAAGGCTGACGGACTTAACGAGTTAACAACTTAACTTACTCAACACCGCGGAAAAACGTCTGCGCATGCACCAAATTATGAAAATATGGCGGGGAATTTGAATATCAATTTCTTAAACAAAAACATGCTTATTATTGGTCAAAAATTAGTAAAACAAATGAGAAAATATAGCAAATGGGTAGACTAGACATTAATTGAAAGCGTCCTGGCATTTAAAGTATGGAATGAAATATAATTCATGTAAAAAATTGTTGATTTTAACGGACACGACTTCGAAAAATTTTGCAAAATTATTCAAAACAAAAATTCAAACTAAAAAGTTAAGAAAACTCTCGAAAAGTTAAGCTTCTTAACCCACTCAAATTGTAGAATAAATCCTAAAGTTTAATTATTGTGAACACGAAAATTTATTATATTTGGCGACACAGTTTTTTTTAAAGAAATGTATCTCAAACGAAAATTCGGAAATTGTCGTTGCTTAGTTGATAAACAAAATGTTTCACACGATAAATTTGTCAACAATCACCTTTAGTTCATGTTCTTGTACAATACAATTTCTTGAATCTTCTGGCTGTATTTATTCCTAGTTTTTAGAATGACATGTTTATTTTTGCACTCGAAATCTGGCTGTAAAGATGCACAATGAAGTCACTCCTTTTTACCGCCATTTTGAGCCTTCGGAAACGTTCGGAACAGCTTCTCATCAAGTTCGCAATACTATTACAGGTAGAGTTGACGCATGCGCAGACGTTTTTCCGCGGTGTTAACTTACTCACTTAACTTTACTTTACTGACTGACGCGATAGCAATATATCTGCGCTACGCGCAGATACAAAAACTGTCCATTATGTATTAAATGATCACGTCTTGTAAGTAAGTGTATATTGTAAATAATTAAAGTATAGTTTAGTTTATTAGTAATAAGTTTATTCTTCTCTTATAATTTATGTATTTTCCGCACGGCCCTTCGAAAATCGCCTACTGTATGTGAAAGGTTACCGTGTTAAAGATCAATAATAATAATAATAATAATAATAATAATGAAAACTTTATTGAATTTTTTACGTATATATACAATTGTAAATCTCACTACTGACTTAGGTAATTTACAATTGGCTACATGAATCACAGAGTACTACATATGTACTATTTACAGTAAAAACAAGAATAAAATGGGTATATGATTATATATATTGTTATTTAACAAATATAAAACATTTTCCGTGTTGATATACAGTTATATCAACACGAGTGGAAATTGGGAAAACGAGAAATTGTGTGGAAACACGACGCCCGAAGGGCGGAGTGTTTTCACACAATTTCGAGTTTTCCCAACTTCCACGAGTGTTAATATAACTATATATCAAGACGGAAAAAATGTTTTATATTTGTTTTATAATATAGCAATGTCAAAAGCCCGAAGAATAAGAACAATTTCCGTGTTACAAGCGGCGGAAAATTTCCCGTGTTGACATGGAGTTATATCAACACGGCTCTTAGCCAATCAGCGTTCAGAATTTACAAATGCTATATTATAAATGTAGTTATTAATTTAAATGTTTAACAATTCAGGGTTTGTCCACTCTTTGTTTCGACAGCAAAAAATATAGTACGTCGCTCTAATGGCATAAGACGTCATCTTTTTTATGCAGTAATGTTGCTGCTTTTTATCCATTCCTATAGTGTCTATCATTTCTAAAAATAGGTACGCAGCGCGTACATGTTGCATGCCAATTAACCTTATGATGCGCGCGCTTATAACGATGCAAGTTCAAAATCTTTATTTCAATTACACTACTGTCATTTATCGCAATGAGCATTGAAATTTTTGGGGTTTCAAATTTCTCTAGGTGCGGCGGGAAAACGTTTGGGGGCTGCACAGGTTTTTCTGGGGTTTTTTTTGTTTTGGGGGGTGCGTACTCCTCCGCACCCCTCCATCCGTCTGTGTTATAAGCAAATATTTGCCTAAATCTAGGCTTGCAGATACAGTACAACTTTCTGACACGAGACATGTATAGAAAGTTTTAATTCATTAGTAATCTAGTAATTAGTAATCTTTAATTCATTAGTAATCTAGTAAATTAGCTCCCTTTAAATCGACCTGTTCATTTCGCCATGGAGTGAAAAGCATGATCAACTCACGATAATGTTTTTCTGGTTGAGATTCTTTGTTAAACCAAACACTGCGGATAATTCTTGCTTGTGATCTTTTTTTGATAGACTTTTTAGATGAAACACAACTTTCAGTGTTTTGAACACCTAGGTCATCATCATTATCTTCATCTTCCAAAGGAAGGTTGTCAATATCTGATTTTTTAACAGATTTCTTATACTTGTTCAGCCCAGATGAGTCGTACCAAGCTGCCCAGTCAGCTAATGTTATATTTTTTAAACTGTCTGGTCGTTCTACATATCGTTTCAGAAGTCCACCAGAGTGAATTTCTTCAGACTCGTCTGACATCTTCTCAATCTCACTGAGAGGTTTCAATAGTTCAACACGATCACTTGGAGGAGATGTGTTAATGAATACAACATTTCGAGAAGATTTTCTCATGGGAAGTTGCAGAATGAGGTACACTGCTTCTTGTGCACTTATTTCAACAGAGTTTAAAAACTTGTTGCCAATGTCACGAACCTGTTGTTTGATGGTGGAATTACCTTCCTTAGCTTCAGCACATGCGTTACGTAACAAGTCACTCATTCCTTTTTGAGCCTTCGAAATATAGGAAACAATGTACATTGCACAGGCATATACATCCAGCACAAATTGAATGTCCATGTTCGCTCTCCATGCTTGGAGGCAAGCAGGATTATAATTATTAATCCTTAATTCATTGGGACTTCTTTTTAGAAATATTGTTGGACAATTTAGTGATGACCGAATTGCAAGAATATATTGATATTCTGAAACATCTAGTTCTTTTAGAAGGTGATCAAATGTTACGTCTTCTCCCTCTTTTAAATCATTTAGTTTATTCTTAATATTTTTCCACAACTCTTTTCTGGCTCTTATGACAGTTTCAGAAGCATTGTCATCAAGTGGATAAAGTATCTGTGTTGATCTCATGGGTGGCTGAGGATAATTGAATCTACAAACTTTTTTGGAGTTTTTTCGGCATGTGTGAGAATGTCTATGAGTTTGTCTGTTTACAAGATCAAATAATTCAGTGTCATTATCTGGCTTTCTACAAGTTATTATTTGGTCAATGAAATTTACTACATCTTCATCTTTATCAACACCAAATACAGGTGCATTTTCAAGCCATATGAGCATATGGATGTGAGGCGAGCCTCTCTGTTGGTATTCAACCCTGTAAAACCAATCTTTCAGTTTCCCTAATGGGGCAATTTCACTCATTAAAAAATCTTTTAAGAAAGTATTAAATTGGTAATCAAAATGTCTTGCACAAGTTACTGGGTCACTTTGAATTAGTCTACACTTTTCATCCCAATTTAAATTATCTAATTGTTCATCACTATAGTCTTTGTGATCAACAAGCTTACCAAGGATTCTTAGTAAATGATTCCATTTTGTTTCAGCAGATGAAAAACTACAAAATAATGATGCAGGTCCTAACTGCCGATTCATAGCAAACAAATCCTTTTTTGCTATTTCAAAGTAAGGTGGGGAACCTCTCAAAGCTCTTAAAAATTTGTATCCTTCATCATGGCAAATGAGATTTGTTAAACCTTCTGGCGTTTTCAAATCACCAGCAGTAAGTGTTCTGTTTCCCATTTTACGCTTGCGAATAGCAAGCTGCGATTGCACCAGCAATAATTTCATCTGCATGTTCTTAGTTTTAAAAAATATGTTCTCAATACATATTGCAGCTCTTCGATCAGACCGTCTAAGTTCTGATTTACATATTTCACTGTAATAAACACGGGTCAATCTTTGCTTCTCATCAGGCCGCTTTTGACCTAAGAATATTCCTGGATAAGCTAGTTCCTCTGAATACTGATTTGTAAATATACTGAGTGGTCTACTACCTTCACCAGGTGCAACATTGTATATATGCTGTCTTTCAGTATCATCTACAAAATCAGTAGGTGTAAGCATACTGTCTGTTACACCTGCAGGAATTTCTGCTTCATCTTCACTCCATTCATCTTCTGAAGATGCTGAATTAGTTTGATCAACTGTAGTATTTTCATTGACACTATTATTAGGTGTTGGAACATCAAAGTATGATAACCAATGCTGATCAAAAGTTATTCCTTGTTCTCGATATAGTTCACTAGTATTTACCAACCAAGCTGCAGCTTGCATCACTTTATTAGGTCTCACATTCAAAGACAAGGCAGAACTCTTATATTGCAGTCGACGTTTTAATTGAACTTTAATAGTCCCAGTATCTTGTGGTAACCTGGGTAGCATGTTAACGGTATTACATATGTCTGCTGGTACATTCACAACATTACCAGCAATTTTAAGTTGCCGACCTCTCGGAGCTTGCATTATTTTTTGAAATGCCAATCTTGGAGCTATAAGCCTGCATTCTAATTCATTTAAATCAAAGAAGTCAGGTTTTTCTGGAAACTTCAAGCCATTTGAAACTGCAGATGGTGGCACTTTATCCTTTTTAAGATGTTTGTCACATGTCAAACACAGCCATTCAATATTATCCACACTTTTAATGCCTTGTAGATGTTTAGTAGAATTTGGATTGCGCAATCGAAGCCTCCCCGCCGGACAAACACTGTGCTTATACCATAATTGATCACAGCATGAACATATATACAGAGGACCTGTTGATACAGATTTATGGAATTTATGTATCAATTGTGATACACTATTATGTGATATTTAACAAATATAAAACATTTTCCGTGTTGATATACAGTTATATCAACACGAGTGGAATTGGGAAAACGAGAAATTGTATGGAGACACGACGCCCGAAGGGCGGAGTGTTTTCATACAATTTCGAGTTTTCCCAACTTCCACGAGTGTTGATATAACTATATATCAACACGGAAAGAATGTTTTATATTTTTTTATAATATAGCAATGTCAAAAGCCCGAAGGATAAGAAAAATTTCCGTGTTTACAAGCGGCGGAAAATTTCCCGAGTTAACTGTTGGATTATGATTGAACGCCTCTAAATCAGAATCCGTGAGGTAACTTTTCTGACACCCCTAGCTTAAAACTCGTAAAGACTAAGGGATCGATAGGCCATGCTTTCACAGTTTGTATTCATACTGAAAATCAAAATCAAGTGAGCTTGTACCCTTTTGTTCTACATGAGATTTCCGTTCTTATTGAGCTCACCTTAGAACACCTGCGTTATCATTTGACAGTTGTGCCGCCCCAGCCAAACTCCCAACCTGACAACCCGAGTTGAGTTATATCAACACGGCTCTTAGCCAATCAGCGTTCAGAATTTACAAATGCTATATTATAAACCGTTATCATTATTGAGATGACCTCGAGAACCTGATGGAGGACATTGTTTGTTTTTTTCCAGAACGTCCACTTTTATTTTCCTTATAATTAGCTTACTTTTGCTAATCTTTGCTCTCTTTGTTCGACAGTTTCGTTTTGCCTTTTCAACCTTCTTGCTTTTCGCTGGTTTTGAAGCCTATTTTCCCTCTCTGAAACAGTTTCTTGTTCTTTTACCTGTTTTCTTTTCTGTCTTTGCTTTGCAAGTCTATTCTCTCTCTCTGGTACCTGTTTCCTTTTCGCTCCTTGCTTTGCAAGTCTATTTTCCCTATGTGAAACAGTTTCTTGTTTTCTTTTCTCTCTTTGCTTTGCAAGTCTATTTTCCCTCTCTGAAACAGTTTCTTGTTTTCTTTTCTCTCCTTGCTTTGCAAGTCTATTCTCTCTCTCTGTAACAGTTTCTTGTTGTTTTGCCTGTTTTCGTTTCTCTCCTTGCTTTGCAAGTCTATTTTCCCTCTCTGAAACAGTTTCTTGTTTTCTTTTCTCTCTTTTCTTTGCAAGTCTATTCTCTCTCTCTGTAACAGTTTCTTGTTGTTTTGCCTGTTTTCGTTTCTCTCCTTGCTTTGCAAGTCTATTTTCCCTCTCTGAAACAGTTTCTTGTTTTCTTTTCTCTCTTTTCTTTGCAAGTCTATTCTCTCTCTCTGTAACAGTTTCCTGTTGTTTTGCCTGTTTTCTTTTCTCTCCTTGCTTTGCAAGTCTATTTTCCCTCTCTGAAACAGTTTCTTGTTTTCTTTTCTCTCTTTGCTTTGCAAGTCTATTCTCTCTCTCTGTAACAGTTTCCTGTTGTTTTGCCTGTTTTCTTTTCTCTCCTTGCTTTGCAAGTCTATTTTCCCTCTCTGAAACAGTTTTGTGTTTTCTTTTCTCTCTTTGCTTTGCAAGTCTATTCTCTCTCTCTGTAACAGACTCTTTTTGTTTTGCTTGTTGTCTTTTCTCTCTTTGCTTCTCTCTTAGCTTTGCAAGTCTGTTTTCTCTTTCTATAACAGACTCTTGTTGTTTTGTTAGTTGTTCATTGTTATTTGATGTTGTGTCGTCATTCGCTATGTTATCCAAACTGTTTGACAATGAAATGTTTCTATGACATTTAACACCCTTCAATTCAAATGGACTATTTTCGCTATTTTGTCCAGGACAGTTACAACTTTTATGAAAAAATTTTATAAGGTTTTGAATTCCTTCAATAGAAACTAAAGCACTATAACCCATTGCTGCTGGCATTCCATGCATATCTCGCGAATGAGAATCAAAAACATTAAATACATCTGGGAAAGGCATTAAAACTGCAATAGTGTTTGCTGCAATAGTAAGTATTCCATCCATAATGCTCCAGAAAAAGAGTCACTGTACTCCAAATTAAAAGTATCATTGTTGATAGACAATATTTCAGGAACATCAGTGAGCAATAAGAAATCTTTCTGAATGTGCTGACTAATTATGGCATAAAGATTGTTTGCATTAACTAGAAGCATGTTCATAAGTGGTGTATCCCAAATATTAACAGATTTTATTTCATTGTATACAATAGCATAAATTGACATGGCAACACATTGTTTTCCAGCATTTATTCCAAACATGGATATATTACCTTGGTTGAAGTCTGCTCGAACCGTAAAACTATGATCAACAATATCATAGATATTAATTGGGCCTGGATTTTCCTCTACATCATTTGCAAGCCTCAATAGCAATGGTACATAAACATGATAAGATACCATTTGTGTATACCACATGCAAACTTCATTATTATTTTCAATCCTGGTAACTATATTTTTCAAGCATGGTAAATAAAATATTTCTAAGTAGAACATTACTAACATATGGTTCCAAAATTTACCTTTCATTTGATTCATGGACTGTCGTGCTTGCACAAAGTTGTTATGTGAACTAATTCTTAGTCTGTATATCTCAATTGACACACCCATATTTCTATATTCTCACTGTTTGGAATAAAATAGTTTCGTTACAGTAATTGTCAGTAAGTAGTGTACAGTACTGTGTATTTTCAGTATTGTCTTTGACAGTTTGTATTTGTAATTCTTTTAAAATTGCACAATGGCAAAGTCTCAATAATCCCAGCACAATGGCAATGGGCTGCTTTTTTTACCTGCACAATGGCAAGGTTCAATTTGAGTGCGTGGCCTTTCACGCAAATAGCGCCTGATAAATAATCAGTGCGAGCACAATGGCTCCGTTTCAATTTGAATATTTTGAGAGCGTGGCCTTTCACGCTAATAGCGCCCTGATAAATAATCAGTGCGAGCACAATGGCTCCGTTTCAGTCTGAGTATAAAATTGAGTATTTTGATAGCGTGGCCTTTCACGCTATATAATAACGCCTGATAAATAATCAGTGCGAGCACAAAGGCTCCAAAATCACAACAGATAACAGAATATAAGGTAAATTAAAAACAGCAAAGCTTTACCTACCTTCTAAGGTCTTCTAAAAGCCCTCGATTATGTAAAATATTCGGGAAAGAATCACGAAAATGTGCATGAAGTATGGTTTCACAATTGACATCACATCACATCACATGATCAGTTGTTCACATGATTCAAAATTTAATTTGCAATTTATAATTTATAATTCAAAATTTATAACAAAGTGACTATATGAGCCGGTCACAGTTTATCAAATACTAAATGGCCGGCAGTCTAGTGACTATAGGGGCCATTCACACAGGATGTCCGGCCAAATGATGGATTTTCAGACCTCCCCCCTCCCCCCCCCTTGTCCGGCATTGTCCGAATTAGT